TCAACAAAAGCCAAAATAGACAAATGGGACCTAATTAAACTCCAGAGCTTCTGCACAGTGAAAGAAACAATCATTAGAGTGAATCAGCAACCAACCGAATGGGAAAAAATTTTTGCAATTTACTCATCTCACAAAGGGCTAATATCCAGAATATACAAAGAACTAAAACATATTTACAAGAAAAAAACAAGCCCATTCAAAAGTGGGTGAAGGATATGAACAGACACTTTACAAAAGAAGACATACATGAGGCCAACAAACATATGAAAAAATGCTCATCATCACTGGTCATTAGAGAAATGCAAATCAGAACTACATTGAGATACCATCTCACACAAGTAAGAATCGTGATCACTAAAAAATCTGGAGATAACAGATGCTGGAGAGAATGTGGAGAAATAGGAACACTTTTGCACTATTGGTGGGAGTGTAAATTCAACCATTGTGGAAGACAGTGTGGCGATTCCTCAGGGACCTAGAAATAGAAATTCCATTTGACTCAGCAATCCCATTACTGGGTATATATCCAAAGGATTATAAATCATTCTATTATGAGGACACAGGCACACGAATGTTCATTGCAGCTCTGTTTACAATAGCAAAGACTTGGAACCAACCCAAATGCCCGTCAATGATAGAGAGTACAGGGAAAATGTGGCAGATGTACATCATGGAATACTATGCAACCATAAAAAAACGATGAGTTCGTGTCCTTTGTAGGGACTTGGATGAACCTGGAAAACATCATTCTCAGCAAACTGACACAAAAACAGAAAATCAAACATCACATGTTCTCACTTATAGGCAGTTGTTGAACAGTGAGAACATATGGACACAGGGAGGGGAGCATCACACACTGGGGTCTGTGAGGGGGAGCTAGGGGAGGAACAGCAGGGTATAACATGGGGAGAAATGTCAGATATAGGTGATGGGGAGGAAGGCAGCAAACCACATTGCCAAGTATGTACCTATGCAGCAATTTTGCATGTTCTTCACATATACCCCAAAACCTAAAATGCAATAAAATATATATTTTTAAAAAGTCCCCGAGAAATCATCTCTAACTCTCTTATTTTATAGACTAGAATAGGGAGATCTAAATAAGATAAAATCTATTTTCATGGCTAAACAATTAATCTGTAGTACAATTTCTTAACTCCTCTTATGAATTCTCTTTATCATACCCTGATTAAGTTAAAATGATAGTGACAATTGGCCTTCTAGAACCTCTAGCTTTTTTATATGTATAGCATATAGGTGGAAATGCATGTTCAGAAAATTCCTAGTAAATTGCAATGGGCTTCTTAAGAATTATACCATTTAAAATTCTCTTTACATGCCAATAAACTAGACCACAGAGTCAACACTTCATTGTAATTTAATAGTTCTTTCTTTTGTTCTCTTTGAGAACAGAATCTCCTAAAACCCAGCTCTAAACTCAGGCATGTGATATGCTCTTTGATGTCATTTTAAAGACAAAAGTAAAACAAAACAGAACAAAAGAGAACAAAACAAAAACAAAAAAACTAATGCTGCTAACCACCTCAGAATTGTAGTCTTTTGTACAGAATTACAACAGATGCTCTGCACTTACTCCCAATGTGCTTACATATATTATCTAAAACTTTTCTAATTTTTAAAATTTCCATCTCTCAAGATGAAAAGAAATAGTTGTTTAATTTGAAAAGTGAAATGCTAAGTGTGAGTCAAAACAAATCTATGTGACTTTGAAATGGGGGTGATATTGGAGCCTAGATTTTATTTTCTTGTTTTTTTTCTCAAGAGTAAATAATTTCCTCAGGGTACTGAAAACCACCTCAGAAATTAAGTGGCTAAGGTATGTACAGTTCATGTACCCATAAATGTCATGTAATTTAAATTAATAGAAGAGTTAGCATAATTACTGAGTAGAGAAGTAGGTACTACATTATCTAGCTGTGTATGTTTAAATGCCTATCCCTAAATCAGATGTTAGATTTTCCTTTGAGGATATTGCTTTGCTACATTTCTTGGAGAAGATTTGTTTTTGTGTTTCTTATAAAGAAATTCAATGAATTAAAATGTCCCATTGATTAATGGGGAGCTTAAACTTCAAAAGTTTCCTTCATTATTTCCCAGTATTAACTCAGAAAAATCAAAGGAGGTCATAAAGAAAGGTCTTCTTATCAGAATGTTCTTCATGGTTTTGAACATAACAGAGAAAAAATGCTTCATATGGCAACATCAAAGTTTAAACTAGTAGGACTTATTGTATTGGTTAGAAGATGATAATTTTGTTTCACTTTTTACAAAAGAAAGGGGTTGCTTATTGCTTAATGGGCTGTATAAATGTCTCTTATGTTTTGAGTCTGTTATTGCATCTGCATTCTATGAAAAACTCGTATTTTGGGTTCAGCTGATGGACTCATTTGAATTAGGTTTCATTAGAAGAGTCTTTCCTAATTATACTATTTAAAAGATTAAAGTAGTAGACTTGCCTCAAGATTTTCTAGAACAACGGTTAAGACTCCTTAGGATAAAGAAATTGTTGTAACAAATATCCAGAACTCTCTTAGGCAGTATGGGCAGTGTCCTTCTAGGAAAGCCACAGTGTTTACCTCAAAGCCATAGAAAAAAACCTCATATTTTTCTGACTGACCCAGATTCTTGAGCTACAAAACAAGTAGCCTATGAAATTTGCTTTTAATTTTCAAGTAAAATTCATTTGACTAACACTCAGCATCACAACATATTGCAAAAATAGAAATTTCACAACAGTAACTAAACATAGTATATATTTGCTGCAAAAATTTCATGAGTTGGGGTCAATTGCTTCAGAAGATAAACTGTTTCGGGGAAACAAAAAGATCCTCAAATATTGGCAATTCTTTCTGTTTTTAGGTTTTCAATAAAGTATGTGGGAGGTAGTCACAGAGACCTTAGGATCTTGGAAAGAATTTATTTTTAAAAGCAGTTGTCAAGTGGCTCAAGCCTGTAATCCCAGCACTTTGGGAGGCCGAGATGGTTGGATCACGAGGTATTTTCTACTTTTTAAAAAAAAATTTATTTTTTTTATTACATTTTAGGTTTTGGGGTACATGTGCAGAACGTGCAAGATAGTTGCATAGGTACACACATGGCAGTGTGTTTTGCTGCCTTCCTCCTTTTCACCCACATTTAGCATTTCTCCCCAGGCTATCCCCCCCAGCTCCCCGCCCCCGCTGTCCCTCCCCTATTCCCCCCATTAGGCCCCAGTGTGTAGTATCCCCTTCCCTGTGTCCCTGTGTTCTCATTTTTCCTCACCCGCCTATGAGTGAGAATATGTGGTATTTCATTTTCTGTTCTTGTGTCAGTTTGCTGAGAATGATGTTCTCCAGATTCATCCATGTCCCTACAAAGGACATGAACTCATCCTTTTTGATTGCTGCATAATATTCCATGGTGTATATGTGCCACATTTTCCCAGTCTAGTCTATCATCGATGGGCATTTGGGTTGGTTCCAGGTCTTTGCTATTGTAAACAGTGCTTCAATGAACATTCGTGTGCATGTGTCCTTATAGTAGAACGATTTATAGTCCTTTGGTTATATACCCAGTAATGGGATTGCTGGGTCAAATGGAATTTCTATTTCTAAGGCCTTGAGGAATCTTCCACAATGGTTGAACTAATTTTCTACTTTTTAATTAGAAGAATATAGTTCTTGTTCTTGTGCACAAGTTTTGTGAACATAGATTTAAAAGAAACATGAAGACTTTGGGGGAACAACATGCTCACTATGGGAATAAGCTGGATGGAAAGAAAACTGAATGGGGCAAGATGAATAGGTTTTAGTACGCTCAAGATCCCATTTGAAAAGCAGCCTAGGAAAAAAATTAAGTGGAATTGACCCATTTTGGCACACTATTTTTTTCTATTCTGGGTAAGAGAAGTAATACGGACATGGGATAATATGAGATTTTCTTTCTCTTTCCTTCCTTCTACCTTCCCCCCGTCCCTCCCTACTCTTCCCTACTCTTCCCCCTTCCCCTTCCCTTCCTCCCTCCCTCCCTCCCTCCCTTTTTTCCTTTCTTTCTCCCTTATTTCCTTCCTTCCTTCCTTGCTTCCTTCTTTTCTTCTGTAATAAACTAAGGAAAAAACATCATCAATGATGGGCATATAGATGGGCCTATGAAAAGCAAATTGATTTACAGCTACTCTTTGGTATTAATAAAGGGGTGCTTTGCCTAGAGACCCTTCAGGAATCCAAGATGAACTTTGGTGGTTTATGAATTCCTCAAATTCTCAGCATGAGCCATTCTCATTTTTCTAGAAAGAATAAACTCTTTTCTTTCACCAGATTCTCAAGAGGTTCCATGACCATGAAAAGTATAGGGACCCTTAGCATAAAGCATTTGAAGCAAATGCAATAGTTAAACACTACTATAATTTTAAATGATATTCTGGTTTAACTATAAATTTCTTAAAATGCATTTTCAAGAAACTTTGGATGAAGAGTTTTCATGTAACTACTAAAATAGGACTTTTCCTACTTAAAATTCTCTATCTCACTAAAATTAGTGGGTAGAAGTTTGGGGGAGAAAAAGAACTTGAATAGTCTTAAATGATCTCCTCCAAAGTATTTATTACCCACATAGGGAAAAACAGTAAATTTTCAGTGGAGAAAGCCAGCATTTGCCATATTAGTCAAGTGCAATGAGACGCATATGCACTATTAATCCCTTGATAAGGTTCTTCGAGAAAGAAATGACATGATTTCTGTGCTATTATTGCCAGCAACGCAGAACTTCCTTCCAATCTTGACACAAAAACCAAAGAACCCCAAACTGAGAGACATTCTACAAAATAACTAAGCAATAATCTTCAAAGTGTCTCTATCGAGAAAGAAAAATTGAAGAGCTATAGAATGTCTCTGGGTTTTGATCATTGTCCTACGCTTATGTAAAATGTTAACAAAAGGGGAAGCTTCATAAGGGGCATATGTGGACTCTTTTGTAAGCCTTAATACATTTTCTATAATTCTAGATTTAGTGCAAAATAAGAAACAGAAAACAGTAGTCCACTGATGACATCATTTTAACTTTTGGGCCCGCCTTTGCCTAAATTCTGACAATCTTCTAACAGTACAATAAGGTAAGATAATACATCACCTCTTTTCTTAAAAAAAGTAAGACAAATAAAATACTCTCTTCTTTGTTACTCTAGGCAAGGTACTTGAGCTCATTAATGCCCTGCATATATATTAAATTACTTTGATCTTTCCTCTCTTTTTGATTTTGTTGAGTTATAAATATGAATTCTCATTTGATTATGCATCCTTGACTCAATTATGCTTTGCTCTTGACCTTCATACTTTTGTGGCACATCTAGGCATGGGTCATTGACCTAAACTTCCTGACTATTCCTTTTTATGTATTTAATAATTGCCAGATGGTCAGTTATGACATTTTGTTATTAAGTTTGACTATATTGCCTTTTCTCTTTTCCATAATTTTTGCAGAATCCTTTTTAGTAGACATACTATATTGTTTACTATCAGACATCCAAGAACTCTTTGTATCAAGAGTATGTGTAGGTTATCTTGCACCGTTCCTCCATCTTTCATTGACTTAAAAAATACTTAAGTGACTACTAAGTGTCATTATTTTTCAGATGAGAATAAGACAGGTGAGATCTCTTCTGGCTCATCAACATCGTATCTGTATTTCACCCCATAGAAAGGAGGAAAAAAGGAGTTTGGAATTACTGGCTTTGCATTTAGAGATCACTTGGAAGTTGCACACAGATAAGTTCCGCTCACATGCTTAGCCCAAACTTAGTCATGTGGCTTTACCTCTTTAGAACAAAAGTGGCATTCATGTACCCTTAAAACTTGGTGGAAGAGATTATTATTTAAAAGGAAACAGAGAATAAGGAGATATCTTAACACTGGATTTTAAATACAAGACTCATAAATTCTGATCTGCATCCTAAAAACTTAATTCTAACAGCTTTGTGGATAACAGAGTTCAGTGGAGCAAAAGTAGAAATTTGAAAACCAGTTAGAAGGCTATTTGCAGTTGCTTAGGTGGTTGATCATGGCGGTTACATGGGTGTTGGCATGATACACATTGAATCTTAACCAGTAACATGTTAAGATGTTACTGGAAAATGTCACTTGGAAAATGAAATCATTGTAAAAATTAATAAAATATAGACTATTACAGCTGCCTTTACATAATCATTATTTCCTCTACCTGGAGGCTGATGGTATTATTATATATACAATGACTTTATAAGTAAATATAATAATTTACTGTTGGTTTTATTTTGGCCACCAAGCTAATGATTCTGATTGGCTTTGTAACATGATATTAGCTGAAAAATGAGTTAGCAAGTTTTTGGCATAATGTGAGTGACAGATGATAGTGACTGGACTAAGACTGTAGTAGTGTAAATCGAGAAAAGAAGGAAAATTTGGGATTTACAGTATTAAGAGATACAGTCAACAGAACTGGCAGATGGAATGTGGGAGGTAAGAACAAGAGAAATTAAAAATGGCTCATAAGTTTTAGCCTTTATCAATTTGGTGAGTATTTCTGCCATTTACTGAGACATAGAAAATGGAGAAGAAATGGGTTTCCAGGGGTGAGGTGAAATCAAGATTTACATTTTGGTCATCCTAGGTTTAAGATATCAAATAAAAAACAAAATGAATGTTCAATAGTTGATTAAATATAGAAGCCTGGAGTTTAGGTGTCAGGTAAAGGGAAAGATAATCTATAAACCGGGAGTTCATACTACACGGATGCCCCTCAGAATTTTGAAGGATTAGGTGAGGCAAATAAACCTAGGAGAAAGTGAAAAGTTCCAGGGGATGTGTCCTGTGGCAATAAGAATAATAACAAAGTCTCAGAGTGAGTAGGTTTGACTTACTTGCTGAGCTGATGGCTCTAACTTTGGTAGCATTCACAGATGGAGAGGTACTCTTCTCCACAAAATACTTAAATTTTTATGGTCACTCTACATAGTTAAGTGGATAATGGCAGCAGTGGATAGGGATATACTAGAATTCTTTTTAGAGCCACCTAAAAGAATATGCAGTTGATAAGCCTTCAGCGTCTACCCTTTGCTTACTCTACATTCTTTTGCACTATGATGTCTGATGTCTTTCTTCTTAACTCCTAGACCTGTTCACTGAGACCTGGTAAACATTCAAGGTCAGTTGATATTTTCATCAGGATAGGTCAGTGGAACTTTTCAATCATATCATAATGCTTGGAGGCATCATTTGTGCATTCTTGAACTTGAGTCTTGGTCCAAAGACCTTATAGGAATACACTGAACTTTTTGGAGCCGGCCTTTCATAGGTAATGACAACACTCCAGATAGCCGACACCCAGGAGTGAAATTGGGAATGATGAAGTGTTACTTTACAGTGCTTGCTACTTTGAACTTTTTATTTGGTCTCCTACAGCCTACTCTTCTGTCTCTTTCCCTTCCCGACTCATCTTTTATCCTCTTGTATCACTTTTTAACAGTTCATCACAGAGGGAAAGTAAGAATTGGATGGCCTCTCTCTCATTTTGTAACACCTTGGACTAAAAGTGGATCTGTGAGTATAATCATTTCCAGAAAGGACTTGCATTGTGTGCCAGTAAATTGACTATTACCTCCAAATACATGAGCATGTAGGAGCATTGTGTGTTGGGTTGGGAGGGCTGTGTTTTTTGTTTTTTTTTTTTTCTCCTGCCAAAACAGTGCTGTTTTCCTGTGCTCCTGGTCTTTATTGTGGGGGAACCACATCTTCTATTTGATGAAACGTTTTAATAAAATCAGAAGCCAATATACCATCTATTCTGTTCTCTCTCTCACTTTCCTCTTAAGCTACAGATCATTATGTAAAAGTCAAAGGAGAAATTCTTCTTTATTCCTTTATTTGTTCAGTCATTCATTATTTATGGAGTACCTATGTCTGCTCTGCAATGTAGTGAGAATTTCAAGAACTTTGAGGTATTTTTATGGCAGTTGTTTCTGTAGGGTTTATGATTTTTCTTAGGATGATATATACTTTAACCATCTAAAATATAATTCTAAGCTAATATTTGATTATGTTTGTAATTGGGAAGGTCAGTCTCAAGCTATGAATACTCAGGAATTTCAGAATAAGAGACCAACTATAGTGGGTATAAGATCAGTAGTGGGTAACTTTTCAGAAAGAAAGTCTTTAAGTGGCCTTGAAGGAAGTTTAGGGGTTGGGCAAGTCACTCAGTAGATAGATAGATCACAATCCTTTGCCAATTTTCAGTCCCTATTTTTCATGTGAGTGGGAAAGGCTCTGCAAGCACTCTAGGAGAGAGTCTTGGTTCTGATCCTTCTTATTATGTTAAAAATTATCCAACAACTTCTGCAGTGCGTTTTGCTTATTTATATTCAAGCCTTTTCTCCACATAGTAAATATCTTAATTTCAAGGTCTATTTCCATCCAATCTTAGCATCTCTCTTGACAATTGGCACAATGTCTTGAATTCCCAACAAACACATTGCATCTGGGGAGTGTTAAATAAGTAAAATGATGTCATTCAGGTAAGGTCCAAGTTACATTTTCAGTCTCCCTAAGGTAGTTGCTTGGGAGCTCATTAATAATCGACCACAATCAAAGCTCTGGAAAATTCAGTCCACATTCTGGGCCAGCCTGTGTTGGAAAGTCTTGTTCTAGACAGATATCAAGGGCACATAAAAGGTGGACAAATAGCAAAAACAAATACTGGAGATGAAAGGGCCCTTTCATGATGACCTCAAGTGTAGGTCATTAAGGTGCCTTAGAGAAAGGTGGTATACCATAATATTGAAGAGCATGATCTTTGGACCCAGGATGCTTGGGTTCAAATTCATGTGGTACCCACTTCTTCCTAGCAGATTGTCTAGATGTATTACTTAAGCCTTCCCTATCTCAGTTGCCTCATCTTAACCTGACGATAATAACACTACCTGTTCCATAGCACTGTTGTGAGGATTAAACAAGTTAGTATCTCCAAAGTGTTTAGAAATGTCCCTGGCTATCATCATCATCATCATCATCATCATCAAATTTTTATGTAATAAAATGGAAGCAGGATTATTTTGGAAAAAGCAATATATGAGTAACTTAGCTAAGGAAGGAATAATGAATGAAATATTTTTAAGTGCTAAGTAGTTTTATAGATAAAGGTGATCAGTAATCACTGGGTAAGATGTTTCAGCTCAGATCTAGGGGCCAAATCATTTGGAATTAGAGACTTAGAGACTCAGAGCCAGGGCTTGGTTTCATGATGGTGGAGGAGGCAACTTAAGTATGGCAAAGAGAGCAGGCAGCCAACTATGAAATAACATCACATGAGCAGTGTGCTGAGGACTTTTAAAGCAAAGTAAATATTTTTACCCCTATTTAGTCAAAAAACGTTAAGGTGTTCTGCTAGTACTATCAAAGAAAATAACTTTGTCATTGTATCTGTCCTCATCCAGATTTTTAACAACTTCAGTAAAGTATGATGGATGTGAAGCAGAAGCCCAGATGGCTGTGGAAAGCATCTCCTGGTCCACTTCTCTCTCTGTTTACTTCACACTGCCAACTGATGCACTTGAAAACCTTTCAAATCTCGTTCACAACCTACCTTCATCCCAAAGTCATTGTTGATGGTTTCAATAGTTTTATTTTTTCTGGTTCATAATTCTGTCATTCTACAAACATGCACTGCCATTCTGAGTTTTTGTATTCTTCTGAACTTGTATAGGTTTCTCTCAAGAAGAAATAGGGCAGAGTTCCAGACTATTATGGCTACTGATACTTCCATGTATCCTTTTCTGGAAATCCTGTGGAATTAGGGATTTATCCTCTAAAATATACCTATTTATTTTTTTCTCCCAGAAGATACACTTTTGAAGTCTGTGGTATCCCTGTGTAGTAAGCATTTACTCATCAGTTTTCACTCCCACTTCAGTAAAGCCTTTTCTGTAACCTGGGTTCTTTGATAAATGTATTTTATCTTCATTTTTATCTGAAAGAGCCAAGTTCATGATCAAAGTTGGGAAGTCAGATACCCTGGTATCTTGAAGAAGAAAACAGTTCTGGATTTTATTTGCAGTGCATTTTTCTGTGATGAGTGCATATCTTTTTTCTTAGCAGGGCTAAGAATGTGGGATATATATTTTTTGAGCTACTGAAAACATCACTTACTGAATGAACTAAAAAAGATAAAAGTTAAACTCTTACTGCAAATACAATGGATAATCCTAGCAAACATTGCTAATAAAATTAAAGTCTTAAACAGCAGTCTCCTTATTTTTCTCCTTAAGTTTGATGTGGCATGAGATAAGAGTCACATAGCAGTGAGTCCAAATTAACAACTGGAAACTTTCAAACTGCATGCTCAAAGTGGCTGATTACAAGACAATTGATTTTTAAAACATGGTGAGATAGTCAGTTATCTATTATCTCTCATATTAAGACTGATCTTTGCACTGACTCATTTTAGACCCTCTCTGTCTCTGGAAAATACCATCTGTATAAAACTACAAGGTCCAAGACAGTGATGATCTGCTAGACATATGCACAACAGATGGCTGAAAAAATTATCTGCCCATTTAATTGGTACATTACTCATTTCCACCACCTTGTTGCCCATGAAAATATAGGGCTGCGCAAAGCCAGTGTTTAGGTCATTTCTTATGTTGATTCAGAGAGGTCACTTGGCATAACTGTCTGGAGAGGGGTAGAGGGGCCAGCATCCCTAGACAATGATTGCTTTTAGGGGGTGAGAAAAAAGTAAGATAGTGTCATTCAGGTAAGGTCCAAGTTACATTTTCAGTCCCCCCTTGGTAGTTGCTTGGGAGTTCTTAGGGAATGGACTTCTGTGAAAGCGCTGCAAAATTGAGTCCACAAGGACAGCCTGGTTTTAGAAAGTCTTGTTGTAGACAGATATTGAGAGTGCAAATAAAGCTGACAAATAGCAAAGTCAAACGCTGGAGATGAACAGGCCTCCTGATAACCTTGAATGTTGCTGCCTCCATCATTTCCACACTGAAATCAAAGGCCAAATTTGCTGTTTGAATTGTTCTCATCCTTCACTGGGGTAAATCACCAATGTTTGGAATCAGATATTTCTTAATTTCCTCTTATACCCTTGATCCAGAAAAGAAAAAAAATCAAACCAATACTAGAGAAATTGAGTATTCAGTGCTTAAGTTGACTGAGTCTTGGAATAAGTCATATTCAATTAATGTGTTTTTGCCCAGAGTTAGGCCTAATAATATTACAATGAAAGCCAGGTGAGTTGAAAAGGTCACACTGAGAACCTGTGGTCTCTACCACAGTATTTTCCTGTTTCTGTTTAGTTGAATTTTAAGTGGGTTTATAATAAATGGGTAAAACCACTGTACTGTTTCTGCTGCTTGGTTTTAATTAGTGGCTGGGAATAACACAGTCCTGGTTTAACCCTTTAGCAGTGAAAGGTTTATTTTGAGGCCTGATTAGAAGTGAAAGAATATGCTGTATTAGATTTTATTTTGAGTAACATTTCTATCATTTCCTCAAATGTACTATACATTAGCTTTGTGCCAGGTACTGTAATGGGGATAGAGCATTGTTGTCTTTGTGACCCTTACATTGTATAAGATCACATTATTGTTTAGACTTAAATAAGAAATATTTGAGAAAAGAACTCTTCTGGAAAAATCCTGACACTAATAGTAAAAGAAATGTGGAGGAATATTAGATTTAGTGTACTCAATAATTCTATCCAAGACTGCAAATGACCACTTTTCTGGCCAACCTTATTTTCCACTCTCATTGAAAATATTGGTTATAATTCTTAATTTTAAGGATATTATCCAGTGTAGGAAATACCAAAAACCATTTTAAACATCAAAACATATCTTTTTATATAATTTCTGTAAAAATGGCCTAATAGCCAAACAATACTCGTGACGTTATAGCTCAGTGGCAGAGCCCAAAGACAGTGAGGCTTCTGAGTGAAGCTTTGCAAGGAGCACACACACATTTAAATAAGAAAGGTCTTCTAACATTTTGGCCTAGAAGCTATCTAATGTGCTTGTTTCACCCCTTCCCTCTTCACTCTTTTTTTTTAATCCAGAAGATGCCAGTATGGAATAAATAATATGGTGAAGTGGCTTTGCTATTTACGGTTTCCTAAGGCAATGACTATTTTACAAAGATTAGTTCCACTGGAAGTCCTAGGTTTCCTGTTTTTATTATCCACACTTCACATGGTGGTTTAGACTAAATTGTCCATTGCAGAGTTTGGAAAGCAGTCTGTTTAATGCAGTAAAATTGTACTGCTACTTCCATACCCATCTCTCACAGCCCACGTTCTGGGGCTGATCAGATACACATTTGCTAACACAAAACAAATAAAGGCCTCATTTCTCACCTGCTGTTGAAGTTAGCTCCTCTTTAACGTTTACTTACTTCAGTCGTGTTTATTTGGCTTACGAAGTGGATACCAGGAAACAGGTAACCTGGATGGAGAGATGTGGAATGTAATTTTTCTTTGGGAGTGATTGGAAGGTAATTTTTCTTTCATCCAGAGGAGCTGCTTTGCAGCTGGGAATCTCCCGCCCCTGACCAGCGTGTTGAGGGCTCAGTAATGAGCTCAGCTTGCCTAGTAAACCCCTAATAGGGAAAGCAAACATCTTTAGATGCAAATATCACCTGAAGTGCACCAGATTAAATCCTTGGTGAACTCCTATAAATAGAATTTCACTTCTAGAGAATTGTTGGCATACTCAGCAGAATACAAAGTTATCTATTCCATGTGCATGGTAATTTAGCTAGTCAGCAGCAGGAGACATAATAATAGGTACACAGAGATTTGTAGTAACAGGTAATGAGGTAGACTCAGTAGGTAATCCCAGCACAGAATAACTTGGCAGAGAAGGGAAGGTCAGATTCAGACTTCGTTACAATGAGGCAATGGTTTCCGGTGGGGAGTGAACGGCAAGTGGCGGCTTCAGTGCTGTCCACTCTGAGCACTGTGCAGACCAGCTTAATGTCAGCACTGCAGCCTGTGGCCACTCTCTATCTTGCCAGCAGATGACAACTGTCCCAGCCTCACAACTCCTTGAAACAAGTACTGTTGCTGTTTTTCTTCTGTTTTTGTAACTTTAGCAATAGGTCAGTAACTTGTTCTGTCCATAAATGGGGGTGAATTTGGAAAACAAAACCGAAAGCAGCTCAGTGGCTGTCAATATAGATCTTCATGTACCCAGGCATTCAGGGACCCCAAAGATAGCATTTGCATGTTGTGCTGACTGCAAACTTGGGCAGTTATAATCTTGGAGGCATTGTAAGATTGCCTCCTATAAAATGAGGATCTCATTTTGTAAGATACAGTAAAGGATTGCCTTTACAGTACACAGGATTGTTAAATCCAGGAAGATTCATGCCCTGTTAATCCTGTCCCCTACTACCATGACTTCAAATATTTTTGAATTTCTACAAAGCCTTTCTGCAGTTTTCATCACCTTGTTTTCCCTAATTCCTTTTTCTGGAGTTATACTGGGTCATGATAAGGTATCAGAGAACCAATATGTAGGAACAAGTAAAGAGAATTCTAGTATTTTAATATTTTGGAGGAGGATGTGATCCATCTGACTACATTTTGTTTGGGTTGGCCTTCGCAGACCTTCTTTGACATGTAGACAAAAAATTCTTCAGAATTTACAATCCTGCCCCTCTGCACCCAACATGGTTTGTGTGTGTGTGTCTGTGTGTGTGTGTGTGCATACACACGCTTGCACGCACACATGTGCACCTGCATAGGTATGTGCTTTGTTCTTGTACTTTATGATAGGTCTGTAGCATATAAACTCTTAAGTCGGTTTATGGAAGTTCTGTGGAAATGCTAATGTATACTAGCAATTGTGATCAACACAGCTGTTAATCACCAATGTTTCTGTATCTCTAAAAAAGCCAACAAACCTGAGAACTATCATTGATTCTAAACTGACAACACTGCCATTGGTAGGAGTCTGACGTGATTGTTTGAAATACAGTTGACTCTTCTCCATTTATCCTTTTGCTATGTATCAATCATAGAATATGAAATTATTAAAATTACAAACAGGTACCTCTAATGGCAGAAAAACAACTCAAATCCCCAGGACATGGAGAGTGAAGAGATAGAAAATGAGCTATTTATTCCATTCCCTGAGTAATATGATAGTAAACTGAAAGGGAATAGGTCATGCTTTCTGTAAACATGACCTGGGTATGAATATGCTCATGGTTTACATTTTTTCAGATGCACACTTGTGCAACTAAGCATCCTTCCTTCTTCTTAGGCTCCATCTGCACTCAGGGACATGTGTGACCAGTGATTGGTGAGTGAAGTTGTGAGAAGGTGGCCATATATGCCTTTTCTCTAAGCGTACAGCACTTGGGGAAGACCATAAGAAATTTGTGCTTTTGTGGGCTATACTGGTAGGCGAATGAGGTAGAAGGAGAAGAAAATAGACTCATTGCTCCTTTATAGTGGTTATAGGATGGAGATGAAGTGAATGGGGGAGTCCTGGATAATTAGCAGAGAGACATAAGCAGAAAAAAATGCATCCATGTTTCTGGGATTTGCTGCTTTCATTATAGGTTGGGAGGCCTTGAGTCCAAATTTTGATTCTCAGCTCTTGATAAGCTTAGTCACCTCTCCTAAATATATCTGAGAAGGCCTGTTGGTTCATTTCTTTTTCTATTTTGGAGGAGTAAGCTTGTGGAAGGTAGAAAATGGGCAAATACAAAATTAGAATTACATAGTTACAATAATACTTTTAATTATTTTTGGTATCTGCTTGAGCAAACTTCTCAATATAAAATATGCTTAAAATGATCTTTTCTAGTATCGATATTTTGTGCATATTATGCTGTTTTTCAGTAGCCTATGCTGATAATGTCTGGTTGGTACACACCGCTGTGGTCCTTTTGGTGATAAAAATATTTAAGTAACTATAAAGAACTGCTGCTCCAGCTCCCTGAGTAACTTCTTGCTGACCCAACCCTTCCAGCTCAACTGGCTCATGCATCCATAGGACCTCTAGCCCTTCCCTGCCCTTCATTCTGCCATTACATTGTTAACACCTAGGAAAGCAAGGCCCTCCTGAACTCCTATTATACAAGGGGGCTCTATTTAATTTGGTTGGTATCTGTGCCCTGCCAGTTACTAAATGTTTTGAATATCACACTTAGACAAAATAAGAATGTGTGTGGACAGGCACATGTGCACACACACACACACACACACACACACACACACTGAGTGTAAATTAAAGCATATTTGTTAAGGGTTGAGCCTTGTGCTTCAAGACTCTTTCTTTGAAGGAACTTACAATATTTTTGGTAATCAGTAACTCTTCTACTTTTTTAGTATTTTGATATTAACATTGTAACTTAAGTTGGAAATTTCTTCACAAAGCAGCTCAAAATGTTTGAGTAGCAGTTTCTGGTATATGCAATCTCTATACAAGGTGTTAACTGAAAGATGTTATTATTCACATTGTGGAGAACTTTTAGGTGCATATTGGTGAAGTGCTTGCAGGTTAAGAAATTAATCATGGTGGGTCCCTGGATTTTCTGATTATTTGACTCAGTATAAATGGGAAGTCATTGGCAGTTATATAGGAAAAATAGTGCTTCTATCCCCCAAAATATTTGAGGTTATGTATTTTCTGCCACTGATTTCCCCTTCTCTCTGTAGGAATTATAGGAAAACATTTATTATACAGCCTTACTAATTTTCAGAATTAATTACTCCATATGAATGTTGATTAAACCATACAAAATATGGTTTATGAGTAAGGTAGCATCATATCTTGATCTAATAATCATGTTTATTGAGACAAAAATTCACAAATTAATATTATACATATATATCTATTACCACAAATCTTATTCTTAGCTTACTAACCAGAAAATGTGAATGAATTCTGAAACTGTTAGCAGTAGTTAAGTTTACAAACTTACTATGATCAGCGAGATCTGGGCTTAAATCCCAACTTCTATAACATTCACCAATGACTTATTTTTTTGTAAGCCTCAGTTTCTTTCTTGTACCATGGTATTATACAAGTAACTTTCTCAAGGTTGCTATAAGCATTGGAAAAGGTGATGCATGAAAAATGCTTAGTATACTATCTGACAACATAATATGTTAATTCTTATGTTTTATTTCCTTTCCCATTATGAAAAGCATTTTCAAATGGTTGTATTCTTTAGTTGTTTTCCACCAGAATGTTAACGAGACTTTCGGTTTGATTAATTGGCATTTTTGAAATCCTTTTCATTGAACTATTTGAAGTATTTCTTTAGGAAAAACTTTCATGGAAGAAGCATGAAAAATAAATATTACACTAGGCATTTAGTACTTTAACAAAATAGATATTTTTTGTCTACCTCTGCTTCTGAATACAGTCTATTGGTGTAGAGTGTGTACTTCTTTAGCCTAAAACACACCAAACTTAGATAAGTCCTCTCCATGATTTATGCTAAGGAACACAAGAGATATTTGTGAATCTAAAATGAATTGGAACAATCTCAAGTCTCTTCCTCAGACCTTAACATATTTTTATTTTTTAAAACCTAAAGACAGAAAAGATATAGAACTATAGGGGTAAACAGAAAGTCAAGTGTGTAAAGCCAAATAGTGCCAGGACTTAAGCAGTCTTCAAGAGAACACATCAAATTTATCCATTCACAGCTGTAGAGAATTTTGAATGTAGTTGCAAATTATCCAAGGCTTTATGTGATTTTTTTTTTTTTGCTTTATCACTCCTCTGCCATAGGATTAGGGTCTCATTTCATATGACCACAGTTTTATAGTTGAACTCCTATGCCATTTACTTATAACCCTTCAATGACAAAATATACTATATCTTATATGAAAGTCACTTTTGGTTTTAACTGGCTGTAGCTTCCTTGAGGACATGGATTTTTCCTGATCCATTTTTGTATCTATTACAGAGTATATCATTGTGCCTTCTAATATTTAAGCTGATGATCAATGTGTTTCAATGAATTAGAAATAATATCAATGTGTTATTTGAATTCACGAAATATGTAGAGTTCATGGTTCACTGCCTGGCATAGAGTAAAGATTTATCCTCACTGTAGCTTTTATGATAGTTTTTGCTATGTGGGTGTATCAGTCTGTTTTCATGCTGCTGATAAAGACATTCAAAACTGGGAAAGAAAAGAGGTTTAATTGGACTTACAGTTCTATGTGGCTGGGGAGGCCTCAGAATCATGATGGGAGGTGAAAGACACTTCTTACATGGTGGTAGCGAGAGAAAAATGTGAAGAAACAAAAGCAGAAATTCCCGATAAACCCATCAGATCTCATGAGACTTATTCACTATCACGAATATAACATGGGAGAGACCAGCCTCCACGATTCAATTACCTCCCCTGGGTCCCTCCCACAACATATGGGAATTCTGGGAGACACAATTCAAGTTGAGATTTGGGTGGGGACACAGCCAAACCATATCAGTAGGTATGCAGATGAATCCAGATATTCATGAAAAAGTTTATAGGGATATCAGTACCATAAGTATATATTAAGAATATAAGAATCTTCCATAACCTAAGATGATTTAGATTATTGAAGAAGAGGATTCTATAAATCTCATTTCTCTATAATATTTAAGTATTAGTAGAGTACTATTAATAAAAAAAATGCCCACTTAGACCCAAATCTTATTTTAAACCATTCACTGTGGAAAATAGAAGACATTTCCAAGCTTTCTTTTAATTATGAAAAATTTTCCAAAATCCTTCAGGGAAAATATAAAATTTTTAGTGGGTTAGGGACTGGAAAATGTCTGTGTGCTTATATTTTGGCATCCACATCAACCATGGTAAAAGAATCAGTATTTTAAATACAGTGAGAAGAGGAAATGACAGCTGTCTGTGTCATTCTCACCATTAGAGGCCTTCTCAGCTGATCACCCTGCCTTCTACTTTACTTTTTCATCCCTAATAATTGTGGCTTACCAGCGTGTTCTATTACATCCTTAGGTCCAACTTATGGGCTAAACTCATCCACATCTCACATCGGCTTTTCAGCAATGTGTACTCCTTAGAGATCTCTCAGAATGTCTTTGCCTTGGCTCTGTCATAGAACAATATTCCCTTGGAAGAAGAATTCTGACTGGATCTCTGTTATCATCTAGTTCCCTTTCATTTGATGAAATCTTAGATCCCTCTTGTAGAGAAGCATTCAATAGACTGAAGTTGAATACAGCAAATTTATCTGTATAAAGTTTATGTGAAATGGCTCTTATTCTGTGGCATCCTGGAAAGTAGTGGTGGCTTTGGTCACTGTATATTTGAAAATAGTTCATCAGGAAGGTGGGACCTGATGAAGAATAGAAGAACCCTTTTACGTTTCTTTAATGTTGCATCAGTGAGGCAAGGTTTGGGAGTGAGAAGACCTGGGTTTAAGTGCTGTGGATGTTGTGGATGCCTTGCCCGATTTCCCGTGGGCCCACCTGAGCTTACCTGCAA